CAAAAAAATTCTAGGAAAAACAATACGGGTGAAGTTTAGGCCAGGTGCCCTCCTTGTAAAAAGAAACTATATATTGTTAATAAGGTTAATATGGAAGATGTATATTATAATCAATATATATGAGAAAGATACGTATAATATCTTGTATTTTATAATAAATTTGGGTATAATATATGTGTTTGTGATTTATTTTTATTATTGTCATCTGTATTTGGCTATTTAGAATAAACTTATATATTTATATTGATCAACGGACATAGAGAACTTAGACTCTTAGCATGATATCAAAACCAAATTCATCTTTGTCATTTCCATTCCTATACGATCAAGCTTGTTCTTCAATTATTACTTGATCCTGTCCCGATGCAACCCTTAAACTTGCTAGGAAACCGCGTAAACCTGAAATATCTAGTTTGTTGATTTGGCTGATGGATGGGCTCACCCTGATCATGTATTTGTCAAGCTTATGTTGTCTGAGCCATCTCGAGATCAGTTACTCTCTTGACACTGTCCACCATTATTTTGATTTTTGACTAAGCCATTGGCCATTTTCCAACGTTCTTCTCTTTTTGTTCGTGATTTCTTATTTCACATTCTCATTGCTTCTCTCTTTAAAATCATGCTTTGCATAATAAAACTTTGTTTCATATTGTCGCTGGACTTCTGTGGTTCTTCATTCGGTACATGAACATGGTCCGTTAAACCCTTATGTTATGCCTTATTTTCTGGATGTCAAACCCTCACCCATCCTTCTGTTAAGCCTTTTTTGCCATGGTCAATCAAACCCCTTTCTTTTTAAAGCCTCCAAAGCATCAAACCCACTTGAGACCCGAGTCCATTGTCTGTTCCCTTGATTGTTTATTTAAATCAATTTCTGAAAGGTGATCATCTTTCCGCCACTCTGTGTTCTCTTATTTTGTCTGATGTTTATGAGGCTACTGAATCAGTCTCGGTTCTACATGGTTCGAGCTCCAATTTGATGCTGGGGAAGATCGTCTCAGAACTTATAGTGCGTTGATTCTTTTTTTTTGCTGTCTACCTTTATGTTTCTTCTGCTTCCATTCGGCTCCATTATGCCTCCCGGTTCATCTTGCAAAAAGTAAAACATTAAAACGACAAGGAAATTGAGGATTCTAGGGGCCTTGCCATTACCTTGCTTCCCATTACCTTGCTTGCCAGTTCCTTCCCTCTTTTGGGTTATCTTACCTCCAGCATTTATACCTAAGAGAAGCCATCTGTGCCTCTGCCCCTAGATGTCCCTTAGCCCTCCTCCAGATTTTCGGCCTCCCAAATCCCAAAGGCCCCCTTACTCGTCCAAGCAAATATATCTCCCCAAGCCACTCTGGTCTGAAACCTCTAAAATTGATCCTTTGAAACCCTTCTGAAAAATCAGCTAAAAAAAAGAAATAGTGTGTTTCGCCTTTACGAAAAATAACCATTTTGCTTTTGAAAAATCAGCCATTTGCCCAGTCTTAGTTAGATCCTGTACTAAACCCCTTTGAAAAATCGTCAAAAAAAATAAAAAAATAAAAAATCCCACGAAAACTTTTAAATTTGAAATACTTACGTTTTTGTCCCTTGAAAACAACCAGCTGAAAATGGCCTTTGAAAAATCGCAATATCTGGCATCATTGCCTTCCCCTTAAAATGAACTGGCCTTTGAGTATTGGCCTTTGCAAAGTCCATCTGAAATATCATATTAAACCCTCTATAAAACTGCCATATGATGGATATGCTGACTCCACCATCTACGGATTTGCTATCTTTATTGTCCGCGCCTAAGAAAAGCTCATATGAAGCGCTCTCAGAATTTTCTCCCTCAGATCTGAAGTTTTTGGTTATTGTTCTAACCTACTTTGTTAGAATCTTCTGTTTCTAAGGCTTGTTGATTTATCGTTGTTTGAGCCTGCCCTGATATGTTGTTCCTATATACTTGTTGATCAAGCAGTCTAAGTACGACAACCACTACTACTATTGGTCACGCTATGCAGTTGAAGATTCAACTGCTCGTTTCTTCAACTTAGCATTTAAACTCCAACTACATTCTTTCATAGCATCTTGAGTTTGAGGGGGAGTATGAAAGAAAAGTATATATTGTGTACCAGATTAATATGGAAAGTATATATTGTAATCAACATATATGAGAATGATAGGTACAATATCTTATATTTTATGAAAAGTTTAGTTATAATATAGGTATTTGTGATTTATTTCTATTATTGTCATATGCAGTTGTTGATTTAAGACATGCTTGTATATTCATATTGATCAATGAACACTGAGTCTCTTCAGAGAAACCTAAGACTATTCACACTTATTATAATATAGAAGTAAAACACACATTTTTGCTTGGAGATGTAGTTTTGATACAGGAACTTTATGACGACTAGAAAATCTATTTTCATCCCTAGAGTTATCAATTTAAAAAGTTCAAAAATGGTCCAGATGTATAAATACTTGAAAATCTTGAAACTAGTTGGTATAGATAACTTGTTATAAAATACACTATTTTTAATATTTTTTTATGACAAACGTTTAATGAATTTTATTGATAAATGATATATAGAAATACATCATAATCAAGACATAGGAAATAACAAGAGACTATTCACAGATGCTTCACGTAGCTAAACCATCAGCCACATTTTTAGCTTCCCTATAAACATATGTAAAAAAAAATATCCATTACTGACCTTCAAATCCATGGTGAAGTGGATACTTTCTTACGCCAATTGATTACATTAAGTAAATGTCCCTCCACTACACAGCATGCCTTTTCTTTTACCAATTTCAAACCTTGTGAAAGATCAGTAATCTTAGCCTCATTTGCTATAAAGTTTCCAAGGGTCACAAAACCTACAAAATCTCTCACCACTCCACCTATCCCTATTAGTCCCGGATTATCTATTGAGCTGTAATCAAAATTTAACTTAAGGCATCCAATCAAATGAAGGAACCCATTTCTCCATTTGGTTCACATTTCCCTTTAGGTCTCACTTTCAAGTAATTTAAATTAGCCGGTTGAGGCAAATTAAGGTCAACATCAATTTTAGAAACCCCGACATCCTCCTTAATTATTGAAAACCAACTCCATAAATTATAAACAATTTTGACTTTTCATGGATTTCAAATTGAGGTTCCGTCCATCAGACGTCCTCCGATTTATTTTGAGCCCAATCTCCCATAATAATAATAATGAAGCACTAAAGATCTTCCATATCAAGCTCCCTTCCTTCGGTACTATATCGGCACCAAAAATATCTGTGTGCCTTCTCGAAAAGGCCGTATAAAAACACATCTTATGGGATGCCCACATCCATATGTTATTGGTGAAGGAGCAATGTAAGAAAATATGGTCACCCATCTCTTCATCAACTTTGCAAAATAAACGATGGGCTTGAAGTTCTTTTTTTCTTCTATTCATATATATTGAGGTTAAGATGATTGATTAAAAAAAATTTTAATGTTGGATAGAAGATTTTTGAGCTGCACCTTACGTTAATAGAATAAAGTTAATAACTTATCTAAACGTTAAAAAAATAAAAAAATAAACAAACTAAGAATAGACTGCATGTAATAGAATACAATAACAATGGAGGTTATCTCCTTTTTGCCCTGTAACATACTGTCGATCTTCCACCATGGTACAATCTCTAAGCTTCTCCACCGACAATATTGGTCCTAAGGTAGGTACTTGATAACAACTTGGCAACACCTCTTTAACAACTCTCCTCAAGATTACAAATCTGTCAATAGGGGTGACAATAGGGCTGGTGCCCGATCCGGTCTTTCCCTAAATAGCTTGGGCTGGGCCACAAAAATATGACCCAAGGTCAAACCAAGGCTGGGCCAGGAGGGGTCGAGTTTGCCTCAGCCCGACCCAGCCTTTATTTCTTTTAACTTTTTTCGATTTTGTTTTTCATTAGTTTTATTTCTCATGAACAGACCCGGCATGGCACTCTCTAGCCCGGCCAAGGCCTGATCTGGCCATCAAGGGAACAAGGCCAGGGCTGGCTTAGCCCTCAAACGAACAAGACCAAGGCTGGCCTGGCCCAAGCCCAGGTCCGGCTCGTTCGAGTGTCATAAGTTAACAACTCTCTCTCTCACATGCCCACATACATTCACGAACCGGACAAAGTACTGCAGGTCTGACAAAACATGGTAGCTACCTCATATTCCTTGGTAGTGTAGTTGTTGACTTATTGGGGTCCTCTCTGAACCCACCACTGGCCTCACCAATTCCTTTATATCCTCTTATCTATTAACGTATAAAAATAAATAACAAGCATAGAAGAAATTGGGGAAAAACAAATTAAGGGCCAATCAGCACCTTCAAAAATAGGTGAGGTTATAAAAGTAGTATCATAATCCAACCACATGCGAAGCTGCACTGTCACACCCACTCCCCTCTTTTTTTTGACCCCTTCCTTCTTTGGCTTTTGCACTTTATTTTTACTTGCCTCGGAATCCAAAGAAACATAACAAAAAGAAAAGACCACATATGGTGTAACGCATCCTAACTGAACCTGATAGTCCCTCTTGGCATTTTAAGTATTTTACATTCTCTCAATTTAGTAATTTCTGGTTTTTAATGCGCTTGAGTCATTTGCAGATATTAACAGGGTAAAATATCAGAAAAGCTGCCATTAATTTAAGGGACCATATTATTATATATATATATATATATATAGTAGGGAAAGGGTTTCTATCAATTGGAACTCATGATATCAAGTTGTGATACTTTACCCCCTCACGACCTAGACTTGTTAATTAGTATAAAAAGAATCTTTAATACATTAGCAGTGATAATGAGCAGGTTGACTCAACCCCGTTCTGAGTTTAGATCTGTCAAATGGATCGGCCGGTCCGACAGTAGTCCGTCGCGGAACCTATCAAAAAAAATAGAGGGACTGGAAAGTCATTGTCGCATTTTTTAGGGACACACACCTTAAGTCCAATTCAAGAAGCAAAAAACAAAAGCCCACATCCCATCTCTTTGATTAGGACCCATATATAATTCCCACACCTCTTTCTCCCACTTCCTTTCATCCATGGAGTTCTTCAAATACATGCTGGCCTTTACTCTCATGGTCATCTCCTCTCTCATGGTCACTCTCTCTCACACCCAAGCACCAGACTCAAAGAAGCAGCGCTGCCCTCAAAAACAGTCATCGTGGGATGCTGTGAAGAAGCTTCTGACCTGTAAGCACATAGAGAAGGGGAAGGTCCATGATCCAGCAGCTAGGCTCTTGGCACCCTCGCGAAATGGTTACACAAAGCTCAGCTCGTGCGGTGCACTGTGCACCTCCGTCGTGGTTCCTACGAGCAAGGGGAGCGGAAAGAGGAGGGTGCATGAGGCACGACAGTGCAGTAGCCTCGGTTCTGAGGAAGCTTTGTTACAGAATCATGATCGGCAGAGGTCGGCGAGGGGAGTGCAATTGAGGAGGCTGTCTGGTTGCTACGAGTGTCGCACGGTGTCAGAGCCAGGGCGGTACTTGTTGCCGAGGGCCACCATATGTGCATGCGATGAATGCGGTGAGGTGTTCATCAAAGCTGAGAGCCTTGAGCTTCACAAGGCAATTAAGCATGCAGGTATGTGTAGCAGCAGATCTCATTGCATAGAGTTTCTTGAGAGGTTTTCGGAACTTTGTTTTTTCCCTTTTTTTGCAAAAGATCCATGGAGAAATTACTACAAAAAAATTAAAATTCGTTAAAATTTATGAAAAAGTAAGAAGAGAATGGAAAACAGAAAGAGAATCTCTGTGATTTTTCGAAATTACAGTTCTTGTAGATTATTTTTTTACCCAGTATATATTGTACTTGAGGATTCATATTTGCATTGAATTTAAAAGTTAGATGTATCTTCTCGAAAACGAAGAAAAAGTAAAATATGTATGAAAAAAATCTGAGCATAATAAGGTAAATATGTTTTATATTTTCTAAAGCTCCCCCTCAGCATGCTAATTGAATGTAAATAGTTGTTGTAATGAACTCTGTAAAATATTTTTGCTAAATAAAAGAAGGAAAAGAGAAAATCCTGTGTTCGCGGCAAAAACTCTTGCTCTCTTTATCATGATTTAATTTACATTCTATGGACGGCTCAGATTTCATATCATGGAAACGGTCTGTTGGATCAAGTGGGATCCATTTCCACAAGGAAACCCTGAGCCTCTTACAAAACAGCGAAGAGGTTATCTTTTCTCGGGTGAAGACCGCAATTCCCACAACTTTCTAAATGTGCAGATGGGGCTGGTAGGGCAGGGAATGGTTCGACCAGGACCTCGTCAGGTCAGCCTTGAAAACTAGGACGTGGACCACAAAATATGCTTGGAGAGTCGGAATACCATCGAGGCTCCGATAAGGCCAAGGCCATAATAGAGCCTGCCCTGTCCGGGGCGGCCTAGGCCGCCCTTTTCAGGGGCTCTCCTGCCCGAACTTGAATGGGCCAGGTAGTGTCAGGGCGGGCCCAGGCCATTCCCCCCTTGGCCCTGCTTTTGGTACCAGTAAATTGTGCCCTAGATCATTTTCCTTCTTCTTCTTATCTCTTGTTCTTCTTCTTTGATTTTTTTTTTTTTAGGTAGAGAGTGCTATATTATCATTAGAACAAATATAAGAGACCATTAACTTTCAATACAAGGACGTCAAAATCTCTTTTCCTCAAATTTCAAATTTGATGGTTATGAGTGTAATATTGACTAGATTCAAAAACTCAAAAAAAATTCGTAAATTTTGTAACACACTTCAAGCCATCCAATTTGACATCTAAATGCTAATAATAATTATGTCCCTGTAACAAAGATAAATAGTCTTATAGTATACCATCCCAAAAACAGAGCCTAGTACTCAACAAAGGAGCTAGAGAGAGAGCTCTGTACAGTAGTCGTGTTACGAGTTGCTTGGTTTGCTTCAAAGCTTAATATCAAGATTCTAAACCTGTAACTATATTTTAATTTTTGCAAAACAAAAGTAGCTTATTATATTTTATATTGACGACTTTTATTGTTGGTTTTGGTTGCTTGTCTGCTATTGACATTAAAATTTGGTATGCTTCGTTTACTTGTTCTTACAATAAAATGCCTCTTTTGTAAGGTTTCTTCTCCTTTTGTCTTAACTAAACATACAATATTTTTTAATTCATGGCTTGCAAGATGAAAATAACCTGTAGTTTCATGGAATATAGTAATAGAATAATCCGATGGATGATTACCTAGTGTAGCCTTGACTGTGATTACTCAATAGTCCAAGAGGTCCCCACCTTTCCTTCAAAAAAAAGATAAGTGGAGATTGAACTACGGTGGGATCCACCATTCTACTCTCTCCAACAGTGCAACAATGATCTTTCCATGCTCCATCACCATACATTGTTAGATCCTCCCCTTCTATCTCTCTCTCTAACCGGCAACCCAAACTTGCAGTATCAGAGCTCGGCCCCGAAGATTCCGGCCGCCACATTGTGGAGATAATCTTTCAGTCTTCTTGGCTGAAAAACGATGCCCCTCTTTGTGTCATCGACCGTATCCTTAAAATTCACAACACCCCAATGACCGTCGCTACCTTTGAGGCCCACCGTGATTCTGTCAAGCTCCGGGCTGCCCGAAACGCCAAGCGCCACCCGCGCTGTGCTGCTGACGGCAATGAGCTACTTCGCTTCCACTGCACCACCATCGGCTGTTCCCTTGGCTCGAAGGGTGCCACCTCCCTTTGCAGTGTTTCCTCTGGATGCTGCAGAGTTTGTGGTATAATAAGGGATGGTTTCTATGAAAAAGGTATTCTCTTTTACCTTTGGCTTGAAGGGTGGATATTTTTTTTTTTTTTTTGGGGGGGGGAAAGGATCCTCTACCTAAACTTCCCATAGTCGAAAACCTTTTAATGTAAATATTGTTTTTCTAAGTGAAACAAATTCTCACATAATTACCGAAAAAAAGGTATTTGCACCACCGCGGGAAGTGGACGCGCGCATGATTCATTGGTGGTTGGAGGGCGGAGGGCAATGCTAGTTTGCAGGGTGATCGCTGGGAGGGTGAGGAGAGGCGCTGCCGACGGGGTAATGGAAGACTACGACTCGGTGGCTGCAGGGGGGTATGACTCGGTGGCAGGGGCAGGAGGAGGCGTGGAGGAGCTGTTTGTGTTGAACCCCAAGGCCATTCTTCCATGTTTTGTGGTGGTTTACAGAACCTAGACTGAGAAACACCACTCTATCTCTCTCTCATGCAACCATGTATTATAAATATTTTCCATTTTTGATGGGCTCAAGCCTACAATCTCAAGCTTGAAACATCAGAGTGCTTTCCATCAGAGCCATGTGCTTCAACATAATAACTAATGTATCATTATTTTGTAAATCAGAATTTTTGTAGCTGCCTCTTTTTGGAGAATTTAAGTAAGTGGCACTCGTACTCTTGCACTATTAAATAATTAACTTAAGGGATTGTATATTATAGGATCATTTATTTTTAGTACAAAGTGGTCACAATCATTCTTACTTACGAAATGTAAAAACGATAGATTGAAGTGTGTTACAACATTCAACAAATACTATTTTGAACTTTATGCCCAATCAATGATACATCATGAACCACTTGATTTTATATCTAAAGGACAATAATGATTGTGATCTATCTTTACTGAAAGTAAATAATCTCATTATATATATTTCCAAAATTCAAATGTCTATTTTCTCAAAGAAGTTTCTAATTGAACTTTTTTTTTGTTAAATGATCCATTAATCTTTTGTTAAAATCTCCAAACACATTAATTTTTTCTTTAAGAAGTTGTTTTCGGAATTGAGTTCCAAGCTCCACGAAAGAGCAAAGTAGGGAAACAATCCTCATCATTTTAGATTTTTATACTTATAAGTTTAGAAAGGATGAGGTTTTCGTGCGAGACATCTGTTTATATTTCTTCCCCTTCGAAATTCGTCTTAAGTATGAATTTTGGATAGATAATTCAGAAATCGATAATTTCGACCATGCGATCATGAATATGGTATAATAAATAAATTTTCGAGTTTAAAAATGACATTTCTTTTAACTTTGTTACCGATCCCAAAACGGGCAGAGCATCATTTTATGATACAAGTAGATAGGTCCATGGTAAAACTGCATTTCCATGAGTTTTACATCCTACAACCATGGAAAACCTAGGTGGACCCACGGGTCTCGAGACTCAAGACTCTTACCAAAAAAACAAAATCTGGAATGGGGACTCACAACAAAGTCCTAAGTAATTATCACATGCTGAAAATCAACCACAAACATGAATCTTCAAAAAAAAAAAAAAAAAGAAATTCTAAACATTAAGCACAATCTATTTTATATTTCAGTTTTGGACTGTTCATTAATATATATTTCAAATCTTCAATCCATCTCTAATGTTGATCTTTATAAAAAAAAATATGTCAACATCATCATCATCAAAGTTTTTTTTCTGATTATTTGGAATCGGCTACATAAATATTGATCTGCCATCCTCTCTATCAAGGGTCAATCCTGTGCTTTTTTGAGCCTATCCCTTGTATTTTTTTAGGTTTCTATTTTAACCAACCCTCACCTCTTAACAAGTATCGTACCGAGTCTTCATTGTTCCAGCCTAGCCCATATCTTATCGCCTATTAAAACTATACCTAATTACATCATTTTAGCTTTTTCCGTCAAGTACTATTCCCATATTTCACCTTTTCTTATCCACCTTCGAGGACTACCGTTCTTTCCCATGCGTACATTGACCAGATTTTCCAAACCCCGCCATTTCCGGGCTACCCCAAAACTTTAGTTCCAAATTTTGAGTGAAAACGCATTTGCTAATGCAATTATTACTACTCACATGCTGAGGACACAGTGTTGCATCGGTAGCATAAATAAATATTCCCATAACCCACCCACGTTCGAGATACGAATTCAATTCCCATTTTTGCAATGATTAAAAAAAACCTCCCACTTTTCATCTTTTGGACATGAATTTTGAAACGTTTCATAAATTTGCCCCTTGCATCTCGACATTGAATCATGTCCTAAAAAATTACTCGTTACAAATCACAAAAATGTTAAAAGATATAAGCTATATGCATCAATTTTTTCACTAAATGTAAAAAGTGTATACAAGGTTGAGGCCCTAAACGATCAAATTTCATAAAAAAAAATTCACTAGAAGAGGTTGTTTTAACATCGAAAAACACTAAAAAATTAAACATCTCGACTTCACGACGTATAGGCATAAAAAAAAAAAATGGATTTTTAGTCTGAAAAATAGTGCATCTTATAATGCATTATCTGGGCCGTCAATTTTCAATATTTTCAAGTGTTTATAGATCTACTCGGTCTACATAATTTTTTAAGCTTTAAATTTTATAATTAAATATGAAAATAAATTTTTATGCCATTATAAAGATTTTTGCTACTGAAAAACGTCTTTAACACTATTTTAAGATATGCCTTACTTTGATTGCTTAGAGCCCTAACTTTATACAAACCACACCTTTTTAACTGAATGTGATTCTCATTTTTTACACAAGATCTCCACCATCCATTCGAGACAATGGACGGTAGAGATGAACCATTTGTTCACAATGGCAAAGGAATTGGTCATCTCCCATCACTGCTCGACTAACCTAGCGAATCTCACCCAATAACTCTGGCTCGCCATCCCAAGTTTCTCCGAGTTGGTGTCCAATTTGCGAATCTTAAAAAAAAAAAAGATATTCAATACTACTACTACAAAAAAAAAAAAGGAATTTATTTGTAATATAGTATTTTATGATTTCTATCGCTTTAGCAAAGATTGGAAAGTATTTTGGCCATATATTATTTTTATATTTTCCCTTCGCTTTGAGTTATTTCAAAACTATACCCAAATCATAAATTGATTTTTTCAAAATCTAATTTTCACTACTTTTTAACCTTATTTAGATGGATTTTGTTTAATTTTACTTTAAACACATTGTTCCTATTTTGTAAGATTTTTTTGTACCTTTTTTTTAAAAAATACTTTTTTGCTGCCTCAACACGGCCCAACTCCAGCCGAGTTACTCCAACTTGGGCTCTATGCCTGACTCACTCTTTCTAACACTGATCTCGATCGTCTGCGGTCAAGAATGGACAACTAGAGACTGGCGTGCGACAAGAAGGCATGAGAATATATATAGTTTTGTATCGTTTCCCTAAAGAGGTAAGGAAAGGTTTTTCATGAGGGCTGGACCAGTCCAGATGTCTAAGGCATCCTGATGTAAATAGGTGGTCTGTCTAAAAACAACTGTAACGGTTCAAATGTTTTTTTTATATAATTATTATTTCTAGTTTTTAATTTATTTATTTATTTTATATTTATAACCTTCATATTAAAAATTATATATTTTCTAAAAATTAAGATCAAATTATATTTAAAAAATATATTTATTACCAAGCCTGCTCTACAATATGCGGGCTGACAGCATAAAAACCTTGTCCAAGAGGTAATATCAGTATTATCAAAATCGAACAAGCTAATGAAATAGTCAAGAGCTTCATCCAAAAAGACCAATTAAACTGTAAGAAAAATAGTAGAACCTAATTGTTAATAAATAAATCAAAATAATAAAATATAATTTAAAATATAAAATACATAACAAAAAATATTTTTAACCTTATTTTATTAGTATAACCAGTTAACATAATCAAACACCTATTTGACCAGTTTAAGACCAAACTTAATTTTTAAGATAGACCAAACTGGCAAGGCAGCAATCACCATCAATACAGTTAGATAAGATCCGCTTACCATAGTTCCAAATTTACAGTAATTTTATTTAGTGATATTATTTCCTTGGAAAATGGACAGTTTCATTGGTTGTAGACTTGATTGAGACAAAAGGAACTTTTGTACAGAATTGAACAAGTCTGGTCGTTGGCAATTCTAGAAGTGGCTTTCGGTGCGATCATAAAAGGTAGTAACCCTCCTATAGAGAGGGGAGCAACCCCCTATGATTTGAACTCAAGTAGGTTTTGACCGCGACCACGTGAATAACCTTTTCTTTTGGCGTGTGATATAAACATTTTTAATTCATTCTTAAGAGTTTGAAATTTGAGAATATAGCCACTTTTCCTTCACATACTTATTCAACCACCCAACCCTCGCATTTATGTTATTTTTCGGAAAAGTATATAAAAAGACCATTTACTTTTGATACTAAGCAAAAACAATTACTTTTGTCCGTTGAATTCCAAATCTTATAGTTATGAATGTGCCATTGACTAGATTTGAAATTCAAAAAAAATTTTCTCAAATTTTGTAACATAACACAAGCCTTACAGTTTGAAATCGGATGGCATCGGTTGTTAACGTTGGACAGCTAAAAAAAGTTGTTTATATCAATGCAGGATATAACAAGTAACTTAGCAAACTTTTGCTTTTCTTTTCCTTTTCCTTTTCTCTTTTTTTCTTGGCTGCCACACCTGTTGATGGTAAAGAGATTTGCTTCTCTTCCTTTCATTTTTCAAATAGAACCAAAAATACCAAAATGACGTAATACATACATAGTGAGCATCCGACAAGTGCAGTTAACCTCCACCATATTTACACTTTCTCACTCCCCAAAGAAGCAGCGATAGAGTTGATCAGGATGTGCCTTTTCTGCCCCTTTCCTATATCAGACAAGAATCACCCGTAAAACAATTTTAAAAAAATGGAGCTTGTAAAAGTGGGGGAGAGAGAGAGAGAAATGAAAAGCAGTATAAATATGTAATGCTGAAATTGTGCTATGACTTAAGTCAAACTACACAAAAAACCTATTACACAACATCTAATTTTTTTAAAAGAAGAGATGAAAAAGGACGAGAGTCCAAGACCTTGCCTCAGTGGCATTATTTTGATCCAAAAGGACCTAATTTGAGCAAATCCGGGATCCAAAATGACAGTTCCGAAGATCCAGTAGCGAACATTAGGCCTCCAGGAGCCCATTTAATGACAGGAGGATCATTTTCGGTGCTTGCCCATGAAGCAACCTACATAGAAAGCACAAGCAAAACAAACCCACTGAATACTCCGTCTGATTCAATTTACTATAGTATAGAGAATATTAGCCCCTCAAGAGAGCAATATGGAAAAGAAAATATCAAAAAGAATAATTGTCAATATGATTGGGAAAGTTGGTTCCTCCATACGTCTTTCCCAGTTCTGATATTCCACGCATAGACACTACCATCTCCTGAACCTGCAACAACATGGATAAGGGTTACCCTCTAAATGCTGTAAAAATGGTGAAGTAGCGACCATCAGTGTCATTTTTCATCAGAGCCTTTTTTCAACTATTTGGGGTCGGCTACACAAATCTTGGTCTACTATTGCGCTCTATCAAGAGCCATACCCTAATGATCATAAGTGTAACTAACCAAAAGAAAAACAAAGAGCTACACGAATCATAAATTTATCTAGGAGTGGCCCATGAATATAAATTAATTTTAAATGCCTAGAAAAACAGAATGAGAAACAAATTCATGTCGAATTGCTGAAATTGGTATCAGTTTATCAAGGTGTTCCTCAAGGATATCATTTACAGTATCAGTGAACAAAAGAATTTAGGCATCATCCAAAAGCAACAGGTCATGTGGATCAGTTGATGGAGACGTTAAAATTTAGTCTAATGCCTACAAAATCCTTCCATCCATTCCTGATATTTATGTATTTAAGGGTGTTCATTCATTGAGATTAATAAGTCGGACGTAGTTACAACAATGCTTCACAGAGGAAGATGGGAAGCCAGTTATGATATCTAATCGAGCATAGCAACAAAGAGGCCAAACAGATCATAAATAAAAGCCAGCATCAATGAATTAGTACAAATTATGAAGATATGTATGCACAGACACAAGAAACCATGAATCCTAAGAAGGGATCAAACTCATGGCTCCATCAAAGGCACCAACTGCAACCTATAAAAGAAAGTACAAGACAAAAAAGATTGAAAACTTAAAAAAATGTAAAAATAAAAAGGCAAAAATTTGTTAAGTAATAGAATTCATTAGAAGTCCACAAAAGTCAAAAAAAGGACATAAAAGTTGGATTATTGAAAACTATTTATTTATACCTTGGAATATTCAGAAAAATAAAAGAAATCAAAAACTAAAATTTGGAGTATGTTAAGAGAAAAATTCCCAAATGATCATAAAAACCATATAAATGATCTAAAAATGTCAACTGAAGCTTCGGCATTTTTCCATGGTATTGATAAACACTTAAGCATATCCATTCAAACAAATAATCATGTTTCACCACATCCCTTGAAAGACAATTTTGTGGAATGGAATTGCCATTAGAACGACCGAGAGATTAAGCATATATCGTATGTTCAGTAAGATAAGAAGGATGAAAATGAGCAGTTTCCGGTAAGATTCCATGCAGATGTGGAACTTATCTCACCTGATACAACATACATTCCATCAGGACTGAATGATGCCTCCAGAGTACCACTGCCAGTCACAGGCTTAACACTGTAACTGGAAATCTATACCAATAACCAAAAAGAAACATATCAGATACATGCACAGCGTGACCATTCAGGGATATTTTATCAGAAGTGTTTAACTATATTTTCTCTAAACTAACTATTTCAATAGTTACATAAGGCACCCTCTAAATAATAAAGTAATTTCTACGAATCACTCAATTTCTAAAGTGAAACACAGAAAGAGACTCACAATTTTGCCCCTGAATGAATCCAGGACATGAATGTTGCCATCTGCAGTGGTAAAGAGCATCAACCTTCCATCCCCACTAAATTTTATTGTGTGAGCATCTGATTTATCTGATCCAATTGTAAAGATTTCAAAGGGCCCCTAAGAACAAGGGAGTCATTCTTGTCAATGTTATAGTTTCTCTTTTTTGGGATAACAAACAATATAAACTATCAGCCCCCTATGGTTATCAATGAAAAATAAATAAAAATAAAACGTGTCAATGTTATGTCCAAAACAAGACAAATAATAAGATCAGCATTTCCTCACCTTCTCATATTTGCGAGCATCAAACATTCGTATGGAGCCCCCTTCATTTGCAATTGCAAACACTAGTCCTTGATCATCATATGCAACAGCAGGCCTGCCTTGCACTCGCAAAAGGCCCTGCAAGTATAACCAAAGCTCAAAAAGGCTTATATGTGTATGGAGGTGGCCATGGTTTGAGTTATACAATTAAAGGAAACATATTGTCACGACCCTCGGGAACTGGAAATATTAGTGGGATTTATATGTTTATTCGTATATGCATAGTACCAGGTACTATCTTCCGAAGTTTTAAAATCCATGTTAACGAACCAATAAAGGCGAGTAGCTGTTACAAATATGCAAAGATAAAACATATTTTATAACAAAATTGACTAGGAAAATCACGGATGGAACGTTTTCTTGCAAGAAGCAACTGCTAGCGCGAAAGCTAGAGCAGACACTTTCATTGATATAATAGCTGTACCTATATTTTGAATTCCATAATAACATAACAATTTATATTCTATATTTTGAATTGAATAATAATATAACAATTTAAAAATGATGGATACCATGGGTACTTTTAAAAACAGGACATGAATTAACAGGTGTTATATTAAATAAGAAATCTGAAATAATGGACATTACACTGTTAAATAACTTTTTCACGAAACACCCAATAATGAAGCCTAACAAGAGTATTATTCATCTGGACGCTTGCCTCTGTAGAACGTTCAATTGCAATTCTTGTAAACATGTCATCTTGATATCTTCTTCTACTACTTATATTATGCCCCAAATGAACATAAATGTGGACATAAGTGCACCACATACACTTATCAGAATTTCATCAGAATCCACCAAGTACAGATTGCTTTTAAAAAAATTGAGTAGGATTGGCATCACTGCTCTTGGCCACGTACCTGACACTTCTCAGCTCGTTGATCCCAAAGCAAAACAGTTCGATCAAGAGAGCCGGAGATAAAGCATTCCTTCCTCGAGCACAAGCAAAGAGAAACAACCCTAGCAAAACAAAAACATAAAAAAGTTAAGCAATATGTGTACATAGAACATGTATCAACAAACAAGCAGCCACTTTCCAGTGCCCTCAAAGAAGATACCTATCATGATGGCCTTTGAAGTACCGTAAGTACTTGTTATCATGCAAGGAAAGAAGCCGGAGTGACTCTGAATCAAGTCATTGTCAGAACACTTCCATTTTAATTTTTTTTCAACTTGAGCACCATATATGGTGTATACTATTAAGATAGCACTGATTCATACCATCCCAGCCATTTTTGGAAGAGTAGATAACTGTTGTGGGGTGAGGAGTGAAGCAAACCAGATCAACCCCATACTTTTTGCTATTTATGGTCTTTAACAGCCTGTTCAAATATTGTGAACAGCATTACCACATAGTACCCAAGTAGAGAAACATCTTTTGAATATAAGCATGTAGACTATACATACGTTCCATTTGCAATATCATAAAGGCGAATTGACTCGTCATCACTTGCTGTAACCAGATAACTCGCCGTCCTGTGAAAATCCAGGGAACTGATTTTACCATTCTGGGAAAGCCAATGCAGAATATCAGTAGGACTACACCATAAAAAAATCAGATCAGCTATCCAGAATAATTCTTGATCATTAACATCAAAAGGCAGAATGTGCGATAGAAAAGTGACATTTAATAGTGTGAAAAGGGTGCACACCAAATTTTAAAAAATAATCAAATAAAAAGATAAATATGACAAGTGTTCCATCATTAAGGTGACAATCAGCTGATATATCCCATTCTTTTAAAAACACTCCGCAGATATATCCCAAATGCAGTTTATCAAAAGAATCTGCCAAATGTCAATCAAGATGCCCTGAGAACCAATAGCAAGAAAGGAAACATCTACCAAAACATCGAAACAGAGAATCAGTTCCTTCACTCACACAACCACCAACTTAGCAAACTGATGCAGTTGAGAAGCACAAGAGTCGGACATATGACACAAAAGGGTTCATCAGGAACAATGAGCGAGAACACATAAATAAATAAAAAAATTGAATTTCTATTATGTTCAAACTTTCAAATAAGATTAACTGCAATTTTTACTATTGACTTGTGTGGAACTGCACCCTAAACCAAATAGCTTTACAAGTTTATCAATGATATGCTTATTTAAAAGAAGTTCACATATCATATCAACTTATTTGAGTCTGAACCCCTTATGAGGAGGATAACTAAGACTGGTTTAGAACCCTAAAGAGGAGATGGAGTTGTTCAAGGATCCTTACCAAATCACAACAGTGCCTAACGTACAGTAGTCATGGTTGCTCCCCAGATCCACAGATTTTGAGAAGGCAGAAAGTAGTAAGGTATTAAGGTTATACATGGCCAGAGTTTTCAGAGGTAGGGGACAAAGCCAATTTATTGTTCCTAGCCAAAATATTGTCTTGCTAGACAACGAGTCTTAACTAGATCATTTTAATCTCTTGCAAGAACCTCCCTCACCAATCAGTCCTATAGACACTCAGTGAGATAATAAATTTCTTTGTTAAAAGGGTAAGTCTAACATGGGATAGTGATAAAAATCGGATAGATGTGAACTTGTTAGTGGACATCCAACGCAAAGGCTATCAAAGGATGGCCCTACCTAAAGGGGCATTCTCTCTCACTAAAGCACCATACATATTTCATCGACTCTTTAATATGGAAAGGCTGACACTCAAACTAAAACGCCTCACGGAACAATGGGTGACACCTTAGAAATAAGTATGGATGTCACTCCGACAACACCAGCTCAACAAGTACAAATAATGCAAGACGTCTCGAAAACCTCACAAAACACTCAGCCAACACACAATTATAAACCGCCTGCACCCTTGGATAAAATTCCAGCATTCATTCTCATCCTCAAAACTCATCAGTCCATCAGCAATCGGCAACAAATAGAGAAGATCTTGGAAAAGAAATATATCCCTGTTAATACCAGAGGACCTAAGTAGTATGAGTAACCAACTCACTATGCCAACTCCGATCTTCTTTGTTAATGTCAACAAACCAAAAGTCTTGAAACAATAACACAACCAGCCCATACACATTATAGTCCAATTGACCAGATTCGAAATCTGTAATATCATAGTCAATAATGGGACAGCCCTCAATCTATGTCTATTAAGGACAATTAAAGGGTTAGGATAAAGGACAATTAAAGGGCTTGGACGAACTTTGATATTAGAGCTTATAATGGCTCAAAGATACAAGTATCTCCCACCCTCCCATAAAATGAGTGTAGCGGAGACAAGGATGTTGAGATGGATGAGTGGCAAAACAAGAAGGACTAGAATTCAAAATGAATTCATTCAGGAGAATTTTGGTGTGGCACCAATAGGCGATAAGATGAAAGAGAGTAGGCTTAGGTCCGCTGGCCACGTGTGGCGCCGACCAAGTACAACACCTATTAAGAGGTGCGAGTTAGTTCAAGAAGAAGGATCGAAAAGGGCAAGGAGTAGGCCCAAAAGGACGTGGTTGCAGTAGTTTGAAAAGATATGGCGACTTATGGCCTCATTGAGAGTATGGCATTTAATAGAGCAGACTGGCGAACCAAGATTAGTGTAGCCAACCCCAAATAATTGAGCAAAGGCTATGATGATGATGATGATGATGATGATGATGATAATGATAATGATGAAGGGGTGATCAGCCTTACTACAATCTCAACTCCATGGTCATGTCTTCCATTGTTCAAGCTATATAAACGACCTTCAAAACTCCACCTTACACTCTTTTCTAATTGCACAAACAAAAAGAATAAAAGAAGGATCATTATTACGATCTCATTTTGATTTCTCTGAAATTCTTTCACATGTTATAATTAAGTTGCTGATGAATATGCATTAATATGGCTGGCCCATGCCCAAAATATGGAAAATTTCATTCAGGAGAATATAGCTTAATGTCAAAGTCATACAAAAAAAATATCATCATTTAACATTGCTTTTTCTTTTTTGGCATAAAACGGCTAAACAGTGGTTTGGCCTACCACCCAAAATTATTTACAAAATATAAATTGCCAATGAATACCTTCTGATCATGCACTAATTACAGCTGAAACTTATCAACTTAAACAACAAAAACCCAGTAAGAGAAAACTATAAATCAATGTCTGCACCATTAAGCCATTATGAGCATTACCATTAAGCTTATGATTTCAGTATTGTAGAACTTGAAAGCATTGATTCCATCAACATCTAGCACACTAGCACCCTAATCCTCCTATAGACAAGCTATTTTAAGTAGCTCACCAATTTTAGTATATCATTTTTACAACATAATGGACACAGCAACTATTAATCAAATTTTCATTCCTTGTAGAAAACCCTACTCACACTCTTCCACCAAAATAAAATGCAAACAAAATTTTGTGATTGCTAGTATTAGCCTGAGCTCTATACAAGAAACTCTTAATTTTTTTATTTTTTTTTCTCTCTTTAAGGTTTAAAGCTTGCCAAACCAGGTGCCTTCCTGGTGGGCTATTGGTTTGAAGCTATGAATCCCTCAAAGTTAAAGAAATCCTTTAAATTTGTAGAAGTGTTTCAATAAGAAATCAAAAAGCCAAAAAGGAAGAAGGAGCAATCAGAAAAATTTCCCACAAAATAAATGATAAAATAAAAGTACTCACCAGTGGTTGTAGAACAGATGGACCACTCAATTTCCTGAGTACTAAATTGTTACTACAGAGGATTTAGTAATTCAAATTGTGGAAGTACAATGTAGGTTACAGGAACAATGAGAATTCAAGTTGATGTTAATCAAATTTTGATGGTTAAGCCCTAGACGTGACTGGAAAGAGGAAACAATTGTAAACCCTAGAGTCAAAATTTTGCAAAGGCGAAGAGAGAGAGGGAGAGAGAGAGAGAGAAAGAGAGAGAGACTCACGTAGTCTCTGAAGATCATGCCAACTTCCATGCTCTGCATGACCTCATCCGTGAGCTCAATGGAGATCCTCTCATCCCTCTCTACCTGCCCACCTAAAACCCCAAAAAGAAAAAAGAAAAAAAACTCAGAAAACAATCGAAGTGTAGAAAGAGAGAAGAAAATAAAGGCCTAAAGTTGATCTCAATTAACCTGGCATCTCGGGATTCCAGACGTGGCAAGAGACGGGAATTGTTCTTCTAGTACAGTAGAGAGAGAATTTCTTCCTCTGTGTCGTTAACAAGTTATTTACAGAGAGAGATACCTTCCATGGGGAAGGGCACTTTGAGGTTCGAATTTGGGGGGGAGGGGGGGGCGGAGGGGGGCGGGGGAAGGGCACTTTCAGGTTCGAATTTGGACGGGGGGGGGGGGGGGCTTATGAAAGGTTTCTATGCTTCCTCCTACCATCCAGCCGTCCGATTTTGATCTGACCAATATCGCAGGTTGGACGGTGATGGAGAAGTCGGGCACACGAAATACGTGGTTTTTTTTCGGTAGTTCAGCGGCACGAGTCGATCTTGAGACGTAACATTGCGTGATGTCTAACTCTAAATTGTGGAGAAGAGAATTAGATTGAATAATGAGTTGATATTATAAAAAGATCTTTTGATGTGAACTCTCTTGCCGACTAAAAGAGGGTATTTTCTCTCAATTTTTATTATTTTTTTATTTTAATTATTTCTCTTAGTTAGTATTATTTTTATTTTATTTATTTTTTTCTGCATAAGTTGGTATGAGAGCAAGTAAGATCAAGCCACAGCAAGTAAGATCCAGCTATTGCAATGCCATTAAAAGCTAATCTTACGGATGATCAGTTGGGACAAGCTTTAAAAAACTTCACCAAAATCATAGAGGATGTTTGAACTAAATTTTGTGAAAGGATAAGAGGTTCCAACGCCATTCATCAAGGAGAGACGCTTGCAACCACGTGGATTTGACGCCAAATCTCACTCTAGAGACAAATTGAGTTTTTTGACTGACTCGGGCTGCTAATCCTGAACATCAAGATTAAATTTGCAGACAAGATCCACGTCCTATAGAAAGTCTACAAGATTTCAGTTTTAAAGTCGATCTCCTAGAATTTCATGATCTAGGGTGTTTATCCATTGCATATGGTGCTTTTTTGGAGCTGTACCCATTTCTGGTTAGGAATAGTCTGTCCAAGCTCATATTCAACAATTACTCTTGAAACAAAGTCGCGAACCTTCTATTCCTTGAGACGTCAGTTGCCATAGGCTATTCATACACCAACAAAATTGAACTCATGGGGATTGTATCACTCCATAGGACTCACACTTTCCTCTTGAATTGGTTTAAAAAATTTCCTACCTTCAAGTCCCACAATTTCTGTATCGCCAGAGAAAGCTATGTAAGTCAGTACGCACCTCAAGTGGCTGAGCTCATATACAATGGGAACAAGCACACAGGCAAGAGCCTTACATCAATCTTAAAGGAATCATTGAAGGAAAAATGTTGAGGCACATGGTGGAACTACATCACAAATTAGTCGATTAGCTTCAAATTCGAGGTCAAATATCTTTCAACCTTGGATGAATGATGCAAAAAGAAACTAGAAAAAGTATTTAAATTTTAAAGGGTTCAAATAGAGTTTATTTTTTATGAATGGCGATGGTACGTGACTTCAAGGAGAGTTTATTTTATGGGTTCTTTTTTAATTATTTATTTAATTTCTTTTAAAAGTATTTAAAGGGAAAAAAGATAAGAGAATTTGATTTGAGTAAAAAATTTGGGTATTGTGAAAAGATTTTTTGAAGTTGAGTCCCTTACAGACCTAGATAAAGGGTCTATAAAAAATGTCATACTTCCCTCGATCACCTTCCAAATATTTGATTGGTGGTACATATCAATAAGGTCATGTTATTACATTGACCGTATAGCTCATGCTATATTTTTAGGGATTGTATGTTATGAGATCATTTATCTTAGATATAGGAAGGTCAGAATTATTTACAACCAACTGCTGCGAAATCTGGCTACTTGGATGTGTCACACAGTTTGAGAAAAATTCTTTTAAAGTTTGAGCTAGGTCAATAGAATAAATGATGCCATCTAATTTCACATCCAATGGACAAGATTAATTGTGACCACTTTGCTATACAAAATAAGTGGTCCAACTATGTACTTTAACGGAATTATATACTATGAAACTATTTATCTTTGTTACAAGGAGGTCATGATTACTCTTCACCATTAGATGTCAAATTGGATGGCTTAGGGTACGTCACAAAGACTAAATTTTTTTTTTTAATTTTGAATCTAGTTAATGACACTCTTACAACCACCTAATTTGGAACCAGATGGTTCAGAGTATTATGATATCTTTGAAAAAAAATTAAATGGTATTTTTCTATACTTTTCTTATTTTTTATACCTTAGAGGAATAACACCAATACCTATTTATGTCATAAAGTGTACCACCATTTTTTCAATTCCTTTTGGAATTTCCAAGAGCTAGACTTTTTTTTGATAAATCTAGAGAAACACAGTCGTAATTTGGTAGTATTCAAAGGCCACTTGACAACAAGAAATTTTGTTTAATAGCATATTTTTAATAGATCTTATAATTTCTTTCAATTTGTGCTAGTGAGAAGAGGCATTGCCTTCAATGAATTATTGTTCTCTCCCAAAATTTTATTATTTACAACGTCCACTCCCTCCTCAACCGTCCCCAAACCCCCCACTCCCCACCCCAACCTAACCTCAAAAAAGAAAAACAAAAAGAAGAAATTTTATTTTTCTTGTTTATACCCTTTTTTAATTTTTTATTATTGACCAAATTGCCACCCAGAAGGTCCAAAGTCTAACTTCGTTCCCAAAACCTTTGGAGCTTAATTTCTAAAGTTAGCCCAAAGTCAAATTTCGGACCTTGAAGATCTAAAGTTCGCTTTGAAGGTATATATATTATAGTTAGTTTTTTAAAATTCGGATCTCTAAGGTCCTAAATTTGTTTTTTAAAGTAAACTTTGTATCTTCAAAGTTCAAATTTTGTTTTTTAGTTTTCTTTTTAAACAAAGTTAAATTATGAACCTCAATATCTGAAATAAAGATAAGTTGGTCAATAATAGAAAAACAGAAAATACAATACATATATGAAAGGTGTGGTTTCTATAAGATTGCAACCTTAAACAATCCAATTAAAGCGCACGTCCAAATTTTATCATAACATGCAACTTTGGTGAAAAAATTCTTAGGATTAAATCTATTTTTATATCTAATTATAAAATTTTAAACTCTAAAAATAATTAAAATCAAGTAGATCTATAAACACATGAAAATCTGGAAAATTGACGGTCTAGATAATGCATTGCAAGATGCACTATTTTTTGGAATCAAAAAATATATTTTTTCTTTCATATTCATTCGTCTCGATGTCGAGATGATCAATTAAAGGTTTTTCAACATTAAAAAAAAATTTTGATGGATTTTTGAGGTGCATCTGTAATTTTACATTTTTGGGATTGCAACCTTATATAAACTAATATAAAAATGGCAATTTTGGTGAATTTTTTAATGACGATAATTCTAGGGTTATGCACGTAATTTTGTGTTGAATTTTTATGCTCAACCAATAGTTGCAATTTTTACAAGAGACTTCGACGAAACTATCCGTCTTAATTGTTGAATAATTCAGAGCCGACCAATGAGCCGTGCGTCCTTCTAAAATATGATGCCATGCCATTGCACATTATTGGTTACTTCTTTGTTAGGTCGTCCTCGTGTCATCCTAGAGGTGCAGTAGGCCGGATAGCCGAGCCTGGCCCCTTATAACTAAGGTATGAGCTACAAGAATGTGTCCTGAGGGCTGGACTTGGGCCAGCCAAGTCAGATACCTGGTGCTTAGAGTAATAGGGCTGGTATAGGACTAGGATTGGCTCGTCCTGTTGCCAGCCCTTGATAAGCCTTAGGGCTTGTCATGCTGTCATCCATTGTTGAGCACGTGTTCAATGCTCATGTTGGAGTATGTTGTACACTTGTACACTTATTCTCACAAGGAAAAGATATATTTGAGAGAATTTTTTCAATTTGGAATTTTAGAAACCACCTAAAAATCGATAAACTGCTATTTTTGAAAAAATGATTTTTGAATTTTCTAATAGTTGGATCTGGCATTCTAAAAATTAGACGGTCTCTATTCAATTTGGAAAGAGTACTTATTTTTCAAGTGCATGGAGGTGCAATTTGGAAATTTGTTTTTTGATGTTAGTCTATGAGTTGAAAAGTTGCATTATGAAAATTAGGGGTCCTGAAATTACTCCTATATTGAATTTTACCTTCGAGAGTAAATGGACGTATACTCCAGTAGAATAATGAAATCTTTTAATTTTTTATTACCTCTGAGTTTCGGTTAAGTATTCGACCTGGGAAGATTAGGTCTGACAAGATAGGCCCAAAAAGACATGGTTAGAAGTAGTGAGAAAAGATATGGGGACTTAGAGCCTCACTGTGGGTATAACCTTTTATAAAGCAGAATAGTGGATTATGATTCGTATAGCCAACCCAATTACGATGATAATAATGAATAGGGTGACAACAGGTTGGGTTGGGTCGGGTCGGGTCTATCGGACCTGAAGCGACCCAAAAATGAAAATATCTATGTATTTAATTATATTTAAATATATTTCATATATTGGGATTTGAAAATATTACCTGGAACCAAATCGGGACTACCCCTTGGATCCTGGGTCAGGTCCGGGTCTATTGCCACCCCTAATGATGACTCAGCCTGACAAGGTATCAGGTTAGAGTAAATCAACCAAGTCTAAGTCGATTCAACTAAATTTTCAATCACTGCTCTAAAATGTTTACTCGACTGGTTAGCGAGGAAGAGAATTTATATAACTACATGCCATAAGCTCAAAGGATACAAATGACCATCATAGCAACATGATCATAAGTATCAATGTATCACCAGATATGTTATTAATTCAAAGTGCACATCCTTTTTTTTTGTTCATCACCATCCAAACATTTATTAGATGGTGATTAGCCACATTGTCATTGTTATTCATAGATGAATATGGATCATATAATATTTTTCCGGAGTTTAAAAGAACATGACAAATAGGAGAGGATGGTGATAGCCCATAGAGCCTACATCCCGAATTTTGAAACCATTCATCGCATTCCATGCTACTATAAATCATTCTCATGCAGTGCACTTCGCTTATTAGAGTTGCCCTTTTGGTTTGATGTTAAGCTGGATTTTGAACATTGCCAGAATAGTACCCCAATGGTACGCCTTTTATCACATGGATAAAAGAAATACTTATGTGATCTTTTATAGA